AAACGGATGCAATTTAATTTATTATTTTAGAAGGATATTGTACATGAGATTATAGTAAGTATAAAAAAAAATCTTCTCGAAGGTTCGTTTAGTACATGTCGTCGAATATACTGAAAACCACCGATAGTTCATAATCAATATGTCTTGAACTGCTTTTACATAAAGGGTAAAAGCGATTTAATTGAAAAGATGTTACAGCAGAGGACCGAAACATGTAGTTCAATGAATGCATTTTTATTTCTCAGTTGTTTCTGTAAACTGTCATGCTTAGGTATGCACCAGTCTAATCCAATTGGGGACTGATACTAGTCAACAGGAATTAAAAAGCAAATTGGCGATGATTTGATAAGATCGGAAAGAAGTTGTCGTCTCGACCTTCGCAGATGGGGAGCTAAATTTGAAGCGAATTCACAACGTCAGATCAAAGCTTCGATAAAATGATAAAACTAATATCAGAATCACGTATAAACTTTGTTGAACGAAAAATTGCATTGAAATTATTTCGACGTTTCTGGCGCGCAATCGAAGCATATTCTCAAGGTCAAACATATGTTGATGTATTAAAGCTGTTTTTTAGTCAACTCTGCAAATCAACAATTCAATCTCATCGAAAAACAACAAATACAAACATAGATGAAGACTAATGGAAATATTTTTCCTATTTGAACACTTTTATTCTGAATGTATCCGTTTATATTATATAGCCAAGCATGAAAATTAATCAGTTTCTGCATTAAAAATGATTAAATCCTGATCAGAACAATAAAACTATGGTTTTTGAAACAGAGTTTTCCAGAGGCCTATTTAAGACTGAGATCTCAGAAGTATACTCATCCGATTCGTCATCAGTTTTTACCTATGTAAAAGAATTTTCACTTGATTTGAATAAAAAATAAGCATTTTATTGAAACATGACCTTCCCCTTTTTCTATGACACCAGTAAAAATGATTTTTTTCAACAAAGAAAAGAAAAGGAAGAAAAAGAATGCGGAGTTTTGTGGCTGATGGTATGTTGAGTTGAATGAGATAGAATACTTGACTTCATCGCTTACGTAGAAAAACTTAATACGTTTACAAAAACGACTTATGCATATTGCACTCGGTGTGATTTGGAGCACTACTGCGAAAAAATGTTGGGGTCTTAAACCGATTCAACAACTCCTCTAGGCTCAGTTTTTGATGCTGAATCTGAAAAAAATATTTTCTGAAACTCAGAAAAAGCGCGAACCGAAATATAAGGCGTATTTTGAAAAAAATGTGTCGTTTGAAAAATACGACATCCTTCGATTTTTTCGTATTTTTCGACCTGAAAAAGATATTTGCGTAAGGTAGAAAGTTGTTTTTCATGATCAGCAACTCTCACTCTATCAAATGGTGTTAAAAAAAGGCAAAAAAGTTTTTACTTGAAGTTTGAATTGCCTGCACCTTATAAAGGGTCAAAATGGTCGCGAGACAAATAGCGAGCTTTTCATGAAAGCAACTTCAAATAGATTTGTAATCAAATGAAGTAAATGGGAACAAATGTGATTGTGTATATGACCCGAGCGAGAAAATTCTATAAAAAAACCGACAAAGAAATGTACTGAAGAAAGAGTTTGTTTATAGAATGAAATATGTCAACTACAATAAAAACCCATACAGAAACAAAGGTCATAACAAATATTTTGCGTATAACTCGTAAATGATTGAAGATTAAGTAACCGATTTTACGAGCATGTAGTCCGAAAATGAATAATTATATGTTAAAAGGCTAGCAATTTTTCATCAACTCTAAGGAAAATTCTGTGCGAATGTTTCCATCATGCAAACAGTACCCTGTTTATGGGAAGCACTGTATCGTGTAATACCAATACCTTTGTAGTGATCCAGATACAAACTATTTCGCCATGAATTTGCAGACTTCACTGCTTTTATAGGCGTGAGAAAAAGTTCCGCTGATACAACGTTAAGATCTGAAATAACAATCGTCATTTACTCTAATTTAGTCGTACACATTTTTTTTCTTAATTTTCAGATGTCATTAAAAGAAAATTGATCACATTTAATGACGTTGCAAATGCAACAACAACCTATGGAAGAGTACCAAATGGTTATCATGGTTTAAACTGGGATAATTTTTGGTATTTACACGAATCATATGCGAATAAAAATAGTGGCTATCCGAATGCATTTCGACATGGGCATTACATTGCCTTTAATGAAGGTGGACGACCAATGTCAGTATCTTCTCCACCACGAGCCACATTTAATGTTTTCACATTTGAAGCAAATGCAGCATTCTACGATAGTTTACAGTTAACAATCACAGGTTTTCGTAATCAAAAAGAAATTTATACAAAAACTGTTACATTAGAATATACAAAATCACAAGTTTATGAACTAAATTGGTGGAATATTGATAAATTACAATTTAAATCATTTGGTGGTAAACTACATCGTGGATGTTGTGATTTTAAAGATTTTATTGTAAGTTGCTTAAATTTAGGATAATGCTTCAATTATTTTTTGTTTGAAACACATGATAGAGGGTTGCTTTTTATATGCTGCTGTTTTTTTACCGTACATACTTTGAAAATGTCTCTCCATAGAATATCGTCAACTCCGGATTTTGTAGCACTGTTCGAAAACGTAGAGAAAACTTGTTCTCAGTCATTAATTGTTCATTCAAAGTTGATTCAAACCATTTTCAAAGACCGAGGTATTACTTTACCACGAAGTTTTGTCAGAAACCGATCGAAATTCCTTGACATAGCTATCTGACGAACATAGACAAGGTCGGTCTTGACTTAATCTACGCTGACACTCATTAGTCGACCTCATCATCCTAAGCGAGTCTATTTCTATTTTGTATTAATCGGAACGTTTGCAGATTCAAACTTGTAAACTTGTATTTCGTAACTCATCACATTAACTATTAGGCGCGATGCTGCATTCAATATGAATGAAAATAAAAGAGCTACTTATGTTTGTAGAAATAGACATTGTATGATTACTAACGCGTTATTATTTACTCTAAAAAGATATACTTGGTTTTCAGTAAGTAAGGAGGAATACAGGAGAACTGCGTTTTTCGACAGAAAATTGGGTACATACCGACTTTTTTCGATCTTAGAATATCATATTTTCAGCTGAGAGTCAGATTGGTGTGCCCTGCACCAAAGAACTCAGGTCTACTTTTATT